TAAATTATAATATCTATGAATTCAAGCTTAATCATCAACATTATGAATAACTAATATTTGCACGTTAAAGTTAGATGGTTGTTTTGGTGACACCTGTTGCTGCCATGGTAACATTGAATACTGTAAGCAGCTGCTTTGTCAATCATAAAACAGAACAACAGCTGGTGTTTACAGTGCAGCCAGCTCATGTTGTTTTGTTAATGCTTTATTCATCATGTATTGATGATTAATAATGAGAGAGTATAGTGGTGCAGGAATGAGTCTTAAACCTGGAAATGAGTTAGCATGTTAGCCCTTCTGGGTTCCCTAGTCTTGAAGTCAATGTTTTATTGAATTCGTTTTTGGTTAGAAGACTGAAATAAGGTCTGTGGGTTACAGATTTTAACGTTTCAGTCTACAACATAAAATATGTCAGTAAATACCCCACTGTTGAATGTCTGCTTGTTAGCGGTTGCTAAAAGTGACTAAACGAGTCTACTAAACGTCAACAGGCCAACATTAGCCGCCTTTAGCCTAGCGGTGGTGACCTGAAGTCATGCAACTGCGCTGTAATTGGTTTGAAGCCCAACGTTAGGAGATTTTCATGCCGAACACAATGTGTAAGTATTATAAATGCACGTTAGCCAGAGATCTTAATTTCTGCAATATTCCAAAATCCATTAGAAAAATATCATTCCTTCTTGGCGAGGGAGCTCTTAGCGATGCTAACTTCCGTGTCGGCCTTCAAAATACTGCATCCCTGCACCACTCTATAGCAGACTCAATCTGAGTGTACGCTCCAGACAGGGTGGAGAAAAGCATCAGGACACAGTTGGTTAGCTTGCTACAGTGTGCAGTCACCTTACATCTCACTGTGTTTGCTCCTCATTCTGTCCTGACATATTTCACCCTGATCCACTGAGAAAACATGTGTTAAATGATTACAAACGATTGTTGTCAACCATGGCGACAAATGATCCTGTGATTGCTTCACAATAAAAATCTATACGAGGCAGCAGCGGTAGTAGTTAGTTATCATTTGCTTACTAAATAATTAGCTCAATCCAGCTTTGAGACGGCTGTGCAGAAAACTGTGAGCCTAATATCAATTAGTTAACATTACAAACAGTAAAACTGGATTATATTTTCCTTTCAATCCTTCATGTGTGAATCCAGTCCAGGAATGGTGCACCCCGCCTCTGAAGATGTAATTACTAAATATATACATTACAAATATATTGAATGACCATTGTTAACAAAATGCCGACCATAAGAATCTAAAATGTTGTTTGGTTCCACAGGAATATAACTTTAGATACACACGTTTGTTACTTTGGTTGTAAAATGGAATTATTGGTCTACATTTGTGCAGAGTTTGGCTGGTAGGAGGTGTGTCCCACTGACAGATCCCACATGCAGACTGTCATCTGACAAGACCAATACAAAGCTTCTCTGTCGCATGTCCGTTAAACACCTGTATGTTGTGTGTTGAAAGAAAACATTCAAATCGGATTGCTCAGATCTGTCACAAGAGCAGCAGAGCTAATGCGTACCAAGTAATATCGTGTATAGTTCTATGTGCTTGCATAATTGCAAATTGAAACCAAAACTAACCAAAAAAAACATGAACCTTGAATAAAAAATCTCAAATATTACCAACATTTAATTGTATTTCACATGTACGTAAATGTATTGTTACTTTTAGAGACTAAAAAGGGAATGAGATCTTAAAGAAATGTACAGCATCCAGTCAAAGGAAGAGTAGTAAAAACATTGAAATTAAACAAGGGGATGTTTATTCTCTGTATCCTTCCATTATAATAACCCTGTGTGTGTGTGTGTGTGTGTGTGTGTGTGTGTGTGTGTGTGTGTGTGTGTGTGTGTGTGTGTGTGTGTGTGTGTGTGTGTGTGTGTGTGTATCCAGGGCAGCTCTAGATAGCAGTGTTAAATTAGACCATGATAATAAGCTGTGGGACTTGATGTCTTCACTGAGGATTAGAGGGAGACTTCATCAGTCTGTCTTCATTTCTGACCTGAAACACACACACACACACACACACACACACGCACACGCACACGCACACGCACACGCACACACACACACACACACACACACACACACACACACACACACACACACACACACACACACACGCACACACACACACACACACACACACACACACACACACACACACACACACACACACACGTCATACTTTCACGTGCATATACCTGACTGGTTTTAAATCGTGGTTGCTGGACTACGGCTAGTTAATGATATCACGGATGAAACCGAGCCATCACTAATGTTATTAGTGACACCCACGCTTTTCCTGCTCGGACAAAATGTCCAATTAATCGGGTCAATTCTCACGGTACATGTTCCCAGTTGGCCAAATTATTTAACAACATGCTGTGACATTTCCCAGCAGACAACACACAACTGTATTCATCCAGATCAGTCAACACTCCCCCCTACAATCTATGTTGCTTACAGTATAGAGTAGTACGACTTATGGTTGAGTTATTTGGGCGGAATCAAAAATAGTCAAATATAATTTGACTTTTCAACTTGGAAAACAAGTTAAGTCAGAGAAGGGCAGGTGTAAACATTGTCAATATTTAAAACGTTTTGTTTCTATACCGGTCCCGTGTTTTTCACGCAAGGTCTCATGCTGGTTTAGTATATAAACGTCAGAAGAAGGTGGCAGTCTTGAATTCTCCTTTTTGTTTCGGTTAACAAGATCCAGTGTGTTATTTCCCCTTGTTGGAAACATTTTCAAAAAAAGTTTGTGTAACACTGACTTCAGGTCATTATGGTTAAAATCCCCAGCAGGGGAAGATATCTGTCTGGCTGTCTGATGTTCACTGAAGCTGTAGTACAGTTCACTGAGTGCCTCAACTTTTGCTGTTATTGGGAATTGGAGGTATGTACAGCAGAATAGCTGCAAATTCCCTCAGAAGGAAGAACAATGTTTGGAGGATACAGGGATACAGCGTCACACGCTGTAATCAGAGTCCAGGTTGTAGTCATCAGGCCATGTTTCTGAAAAGACAAAAACACAGCTTCCTTCATGTCGCGCTTTGTAGCCCTTACAAGGTGTTTGTGGTACACTTTGTTGTTAATGGAGATCACATTGGTGAGTACAACATGGTTAGGGTCAGGGTTAGGGTTAGGGTGACCTGCCTCTCCTCATGAGAAGCAGCAGTTGAGGCTGGTTTCTTCGTCTGTTTGGGTTTCAGTTTTTTGTCTTTCCTTCAACTAATATCTCACAGAATCTTACAGCTGCACTTTTGTCTAATGAAGACGAACAAAAGGAACTAGCTAAAGATTGACATTTCACATTTGGAGCTGCATACCCTGTTATAGCATTAACCAAATGAAAAGCTATTTCATTAGTTTACATTTGTATGACAGTATGAGCGCCTATATTACAGTATCTTTAATGTCATTGCCTCCAAATATAATACCTTTTACAGTTAAAGCTGCACTTAATAAATCAATATTTTATTATGAAAGAAAAGTGTGTAATGTAAGTCAAGTCAGGAAATTATTAATGATCCATTGCATCTCTCCTCGACTCTGAAGAGTGTCTTCCAGCTAGTTCATTTAGCTAGCTTTTTTTGTCTCACATTAACTGTGTGTGTCAAACAGCAGACACACACAGTTAGAGGTTAGCTTTTGAACATTGCCATTCAAAAAAACTGTATTTTTGTTTGTAAAATCAGAAACAGTGCCAGGAGGGAAGGGATTATTGGAATTATTCTTATAAGATGGACACACACTCCAAATGAAATGCTAAAGTTGCCCTGTGTCGGCTAGGAACTGTTTGCAAATGACAGACATTTCAACTTTATAAGGACACAATATGTCAGGACTTTGATCTACTGCATTTTTTATGAATATGCATCTCTGCTTTCCGGAAGAAGCTGAATATGTAATGACAGTGAAACATTGATGTGGTCACTATCTGGGCAGCTTAAGCTTCTGCAGGATGGTGAGGCAGGACATCAGCTATAACAGACATTAGTAACAGAAAAGGTTCAAATGAAGGTTAAGAAAACAAGCCTTTATATGTGAGTTTACATTGACATCCATCCCAGCTTTTAGGAAGACGACTGGTACTCCGCATACAGAGAGAGGACCCGACACATCCACTGCATAGAGCAGGGGGAAAGAGAGGCATACTGTAGGAAGGTGGGGGGAGAAACAGAGAGAGGGCAACCAACAGTAGGGGGGCAGGGGGAAGCTGCAGAGAAAGGGAAATCTCATTACCCAGCGTGTGCACAGTACTGCAAATAACTGATAATACACTACATAAAATATATGAAGAAGTTGTCAAGATGCAAGGTTGATGGAGTGTGTGTGCGTGTGTGTGTGTGTATGTATCGGCAAATAAAGGATAATTGATTATGTGCTGAGAGAAACACACATTGTGATAGACGTTTCTCATAATGCATACGTCTCCGTATTCCTCCTGTTTATGTATACACTCATTTTCTCTTTACATTCTTTACATATTTATATTAAATATTTTTTTACTGTCTCTTTCAAACCTACACACACACAGACACACACACACGTATACTCGGTGTACCTCATTACCTTTACACTCTCCATCCATCATCCTTACCTCCCTCCCTCCCCCATCCCTCCCCCTCCGTCTCCGTCTCTGACTGGGCTGTTATCAATGGGATTGCAGCAGTCAGGACATTTGCACTGAATTAGCAGCATTCCTTCACTCTCCTCAGCGTGTTATTGGAGCCCCCTATCTGCAGCCTGTAGGCATAGCAACTGCGTCCCACATACTGCAATGGCCCAAACCCCCTCCCCCCAAGCACCAGCAATCACAGGAACACCACAGTTCTAATGACAAAGGCTAAAACTGGTTGGAAAAAAAAGGTCTGTTTGCAGATGGCAGTGTCCTGTTGGTTAAGCCTGAATAAAAGGAGGTGATTTATGATGTGCAAATTTTAAAATTCCCCCCTCCCCCCCTCTGTTTTTCTTCCCTCTGCAGTATGTGGCGTTTGGCTCGCTCTTCTTCATCCTCCTCTCCATCTCCACCTTCTGCCTGGAGACCCACGAAGTCTTCAACACCATCTACAACAAAACAGAGAACGTCACAGTTGGCAACGTGACAACAGAGGAGGTACGCAGAGGTTTTAGTGAATCCCTTTTTCAGTATTAGATATATTAAAGCGACCATAAAAGGGACACTGCAGCGTTCTAGATCTGCAGTTCTTTAAAGCGGGCAGAATCACGAGACTCAGAATACGAATTGAATGATAAAAAAAATGAAGAAGAGGCCACATTCTGGTCCCACAAAATCCTACATTTCCGGTGAGCCAACATCCTAACTTCAAGGTTGAAGCACACAAACCTAAATGTATCATCTCCAATCAGAAGTCCTTCATTTGTCCCACAGCAGGGACATGTACAATGTTACAGCAAAGGGACAATGCAGACAAAGGCCAAAACAAGATTAGATGAGTAACATATAAGGTAGAGAGGCAAACAATAAAGAAAAAGAAAATAATGACATATCCATGGAAACAAAACAGCCTTCTAAAAGTAGTAACATATGTAGCAGCTCAGATTGGAGTGCGACTCGGTTGTTTGCTTGAGTTTTCTGCTCATAACTGACATTCTGTCAGTTTGCAAGTTGTTATTAGTCCACCGCCCCAATGAGACATAACTTGGTTATTAGAAGGTACTCAGGTGATGAGGAAGGTGAGTTTGGTGTTGTAGTTAACCAAGTGTGCAGTAGCCTACAGAATAACATGATGGGTCTCTTTAACGAACCCAGTACTGAAGTTATCATACCTTGAAATTAAATTAAAAGTATTTTTTGACATTATTTCGTAAAGATTTTGTGGCCAGAGTTTGAATAGGGACAAGAATTGTAATTGTTGCTGTCTGATTCATTCGGAGGCTTCTCTTGTGTTAGATAGTTAGGATTATGCATACCTTGTAATGAGTAAACACATTATAAAATGATCTGATCCTTTGTCTTCTCTTCTACCCTGCAGATAGTGTATGAGGTCGTCACAGATGGCTGGCTGACATACGTGGAGGGCATCTGCGTCATGTGGTTCACCCTTGAGGTAATGGCGCGAGTCGTCTTCTGCCCTGACAAGGCGGAGTTCTTCCGCAGCGCCCTTAACATCATTGACTTTGTGGCCATCGTGCCCTTCTACCTGGAGGTGGCGCTGAGCGGCCTCTCTTCCAAAACAGCCAAAGACGTGCTGAGCTTCCTGCGCGTGGTGCGCTTTGTCCGTATCCTGCGTATCTTCAAGCTGACCCGCCACTTTGTTGGTTTGCGGGTTCTGGGCCACACTCTGCGGGCGAGCACCAACGAGTTCCTGCTGCTAATTATCTTCCTGGCGCTGGGCGTCCTCATCTTTGCAACCATGATCTACTATGCTGAAAGAATTGGCGCCGATCCAGCCGATCCGACGGCAGCGGCCCACACCGCCTTCAAGAACATCCCCATCGGGTTCTGGTGGGCTGTGGTGACCATGACCACGCTGGGCTACGGGGACATGTACCCTGAGACCTGGTCTGGAATGCTGGTGGGGGCCCTCTGCGCCTTGGCCGGTGTGCTGACCATCGCCATGCCTGTGCCTGTCATCGTCAACAACTTCGGCATGTACTACTCCCTGGCCATGGCCAAGCAGAAGCTCCCCAAGAAGAGGAACAAACACATCCCTCGAGCGCCCCAGCCCGGCAGCCCCAACTACTGCAAGCCAGATGCCCTTGCCATGGCAACCGCCTCGCCGCACAGGCTGATGGGAAATGTGATCGGGCCGGGCATGGTGGGATCCGGCAGCATGATGGGAACTGGAGACTGCCCATTGGCACAGGAGGAGATCATTGAGATCAACAGGGCAGGTGAGTGATTGATCAGAACTGAGATCATGCCTGGATGTTGCGTGTGGATGTGAGTGTAAAAGAGCAGAGCTTGTGAAGCTTTTCAAAAGGAAAAGCAGCCGTTAAAGTACCAGGGGTAAATGTCACATATCCAAATGTAAAGGCCTAGCAACACAATCATTTTAAACAATAATTGAGTTAATTCATTGCTACAAACCTAAGCTTTGCTTGTGACAAAGCACATCTGTGCACATTGTTCACCTCCAGTACACCTCTGTTACCCTCAGGTGTCTCCCTTTAGGTAATAGTATCAAACCTTGTAAAAGGTGATGTGTTTTTACATTAATTCATTTCTTGTCTAGTCTATACATTGTCAAACATTTTTACAAAATTACCATTGTATAGATTTTATAGAGCTGGCAGCCCATAGGTGGACTATGCTGCCTAGTGCGCAGGTTGGTATCTGGATTGCAGAACTGTCAGGCCATGTCCTTCCTTCAGTCTCCCCCATTTAAAATGGTTATCAATCAATAAAGACACTCTCAGACCCCAAAAGTATCTCAAATAGAATAAAATAAATGGTTAATGGTTTGCTAAATCCCAAAGTTCCCTACAGAGCATAGGAGGGACATCACTATGTAACACTTGGCCTTGGTGGAGAAAGGATTTATTATTTTTTATTTTTTTTACTTTTCTGCTTCCCAAAATCTGAAGTTAATCACTGAAGTGGCCTTAACAAAATAAAAGTATAGTAGCTGCAAAAGAAGGGTATTACTTTATCTCTACAAATCCATCTCCCCCTCACAGTCGGAGGGCTGTACCACCAGGGCCGCCATGTCCAGATAATCCAGGATTGGGTCGTTATAGATACACTGTATGTTGTGCCTGTCGAGACATTGATCCGGGTCATCACATCTCTGCTGTTTTAATTCACATGTCCATCATCTGCACGGATACACCAATGTGTGTTTGTGTGTGTGTGTGTTTGTGTGTTTGTGTGTTTGTGTGTTTGTTTGTGTGTGTGTCAGCTGTTTGTTATGGAGTTGCAGCGTGTGCCTTAACAGGATTTACTTTTAGCCTTAAGATTGGCTTGTCACCACAGTGTTTGACAGCAAAGCGACATGTAATCAGTGTGTGTGTGTGTGTGTGTGTGTGTGTGTGTGTGTGTGTGTGTGTGTGTGTGTGTGTGTGTGTGTGTGTGTGTGTGTGTGTGTGTGTGTGTGTGTGTGCACTTAGTTACACATGCATTGTTGCATATCATGTGTTCCTTCATTTTGGTTCTGCACCTCTTTATAAATTGCCACAACATTTTTTTTTTATATAATTGCACCCATTGCTGCTGCAAAATATTTTTTAAATCTTCTTTCCAATGTTAATTTGTATGAGTAAGTGGAAATAGAGGCTCATTGGAAACCGGCATTTTACAATGTCACTATCTTTTTTTTGTTGGAGTCCAATATTACATTTGTTCAATAAAAGAATGGTGCAAATAATATCCTTTTATTTAATTAAATTCAACAAGCTAATTATGTTGTATTTTAGCAATACTATAAAAGCAGCAGCAAGACAGAAACGAGCAACTTTATTAAATGTATATACTGTATCCCAAGTAAAATCCTTATTGTGTGCAATCGTGCACACTTGTATGAGAGGCCGTCTAGCTCACAACTCATACTTGGTCTTACAAACAATATCAGAATCTCACACATACACCATTAAACTCTTTTATACATATTGCTAAACACTTTTACACGCACAATCATACTCTCTTTCACACACTTTTGTCTGGGCCATAAATCAAACTTACTTACATACCAAACTGTACTTTCTTAGAAACACTATTATTCCCACTTACAGACAACATCATACTACAATATAATACTCTAGTAGTGTATGCAAGATAGAAAACTTTGTGTGTGAGAGAGAATGATAGTGTATGTGAGAGAGGAATTGTAGTATGTATGAGGGTATAGTAGTGTGTGTGAGAGAGAATGATAGTGTATGTGAGAGAGGGATTGTAGTATGTATGAGGGTATAGTAGTGTGTGTGAGAGAGAATGATAGTGTATGTGAGAGAGGGATTGTAGAATGTATGAGGGTATAGTAGTGTGTGTGAGAGAGAATGATAGTGTATGTGAGAGAGGGATTGTAGTATGTATGAGGGTATAGTAGTGTGTGTGAGAGAGAATGATAGTGTATGTGAGAGAGGGATTGTAGTATGTATGAGGGTATAGTAGTGTGTGTGAGAGAGAATGATAGTGTATGTGAGAGAGGAATTGTAGTATGTATGAGGGTATAGTAGTGTGTGTGAGAGAGAATGATAGTGTATGTGAGAGAGGGATTGTAGTATGTATGAGGGTATAGTAGTGTGTGTGAGAGAGAATGATAGTGTATGTGAGAGAGGAATTGTAGTATGTATGAGGGTATAGTAGTGTGTGTGAGAGAGAATGATAGTGTATGTGAGAGAGGAATTGTAGTATGTATGAGGGTATAGTAGTGTGTGTGAGAGAGAATGATAGTGTATGTGAGAGAGGGATTGTAGTATGTATGAGGGTATAGTAGTGTGTGTGAGAGAGAATGATAGTGTACAGTGTTTCCCCTACCATTGTCTTGGAGGGGCGCTGCGCCCCGCCAACGGAGCCCCGCGCCCCCCCCCTGAAATTCAAGGTGTTTAAAAAAAAAAAAATTATAATTCTTTTATTTAATATATATAGCACCAAATTGCAACTAATCTATATCTACTGTCACTTTTCACATTGAACATGTGCTCTCTTATTAAATAAACTAAACACTTTAATTTTAAGTTGTGAGTTTAGTGTTTTTGACCCTAAGAAACACTGATGCATTAATCTATAACAATAATCCACAGCTCCTCTTTCTGCTCCAGAGGATTTAAAAAATATATATCCCAATGCCTTTATTTTAAAGTTGGCCTGTCTATTTTTTTGTGTTCTCCTTATAAGAGTTTTTGTTTATTATTAGAGGTAAACAGTTTTCTATAATGTAATAAATAATAAATGCAAAAAAACTGTAGTTTTTGTCTATGATGTAACAATATATACAACTTTATAAGCTATCAAGCTATCAAATATGTTTTGTGGCTCCAGACAAAAACAATTGGTGGAAAAGGGGGCAAAATGGCTCTTTTGGTCAAAAAGGTTGCAGACCCCTGGGTTAGACGATAGGAGCTGATTGTTGGACTATTCGACTGCAACCCTTGTGTTTTTGAGAGCTTATGACAGTTTATGTGAGAGGACATTGTACTGGTTGTGAGAGAGCATACTTTAAAAGGAAATCAGGTTGATCCAACAGGAAGCCAGTTTAAATATTCATTCCTTGACTGGTTTACAGCCTTGAAAACAAAGCCTGAAGCTGCTCAGAGCACTGCTAGCTACATTTGAGCTGCAATAAGAACTTTTGGTAACACTTTATATTAAGGTACACAAATTCACCATCAACTAGTTGATAATTAACATGCATATTAGCAGTATATTGGCTATTTATTAGTCATTATAAAACACTTATTAATGCCTTATTCTACATGACCAGATTCTACAAGTAATAGGCCATTAGTTGAGAGTTTTTCCTCAATAACCCTCTAATTAGTGCTTATTTATTGCAAGTAAGGAAGTTGTTGTACATGAGTTTTGGTCTTAATATGCTCAGCTCAATATGGGCCCAATAAGACAGTAGTACCTAATTTTGAGTTATTTAGACTTAATTAACACTTATAGTTTCATGTCTTGTTACATAAGAATACAAAATATTCTATCTGTGATCATACTGTGTGACCTGCTTGTATGTACTTACACAACAGGTGTACTGTTCTCTCTATGTGTTGTACTGTCTCAGTGTGAACATAGATTAAACAGCCAGCCAAACTCTTTTGAGAGCCAGGGAATGAGCAGCCATGCTCCTTTATTGAATTATTTGCAGTCCACTGACATTCAAACGGAGTGAAACTATACAAAAAGAAGATACAAGGCACTTAAGGATCTCATACATGCAAGTGTAACATACACAGATTAACACATAAGACTGCTAAGTGTAAACAAGGTAAATATAGCTAATGCTAGCTGTGCAATAAGCATGTATACAGGGTAGTATGGCTAACGCTAACGCATTTTAACGCAGTTTAAACATCTCCAAATGTCATCACATAAACACAATACATGTTACTAATCCTTACAGTGTAAGTGTAAGGCTTACACTTACACTTACAGTCATTGCTTTCTGACGGACTTGACCCTTTTTCTTCAGGTTGCATAGGGAAAATTAGTAATAGTCTACTGCCATTGTGGGCGGTGTCCGTCAGACAAAAAATGTACTGTAGAGCCAATCAGGAACTGAGAATTTAGTCCAACTTCCTTTTCAATCAAACTCACTTCCTTTTCAATCATACTCTCTCACACACATAACTATTCTTATGCACACACCCTATCATTCTGTTTTATACACATACCTATAGTCATTCACATTAACTATTATTACCTCTTATATAAGCTATTATTCGGCCTTTCATTCACTGCTACTGTTTTACATATATGACTATTGTTATTAACATGAAATACTATTCCCTCTTACATAGGTTATTATTCTGTTTTACATACATTGTTTACCGATTACACACATACTACTATCCTCTTTCACATACACTATTATAATGTTCTATTAGATTATAGTTGTTTGTGAAAGACGATAGTGGTGTGCGTACGAGAGTATGATGGTGCGTTTAAGAGATTTTGTTTTTGTGTGTGAGAGAGAATAGTTATTTATGTATGATAGTAAATGAAGGAAGGAATGACAGTACGTTAAAGACGGTATGATACTGTGTGTGAAAGAATCTGGTGGTGTACATGTGAGATTCTGATATTGTTTATAAGACCAAGTATGAGTTGTGAGCTAGACGGCTTCTCATACACTTGTGCTGTGTCTCAAGTCACATACTTCTGTACTTACATTTGTTGTTTTGAGTGCATAAGTGATTCCCAATGATGACCAATGGCAAAATGCAGTATAAGTACCGTTAAGAGCTCTCATAACAGTCAAAAAAGTTGAGCATGGAACGTTGCACACCTCTTAATTTGCATTCACATATGCACAAAGTTAATATTATTCATCAGATAACAGCTGTATCTAGCATCGCAAGCTAGCAGAGGAGGTTACAATAGAAACGGAAACATCACTGGCTTTTCAAGGCTCTGCACCAAACCTCATGGTGAGCAAAGAGCAAATCTTGAGAATGCAGCATAACTGTCAATGATCGCCATCTTTGCTACGTAACAGAAGTCACGCGACCAGCCATGATTGCGATTGCTCCGGTAAACACAGTGCTCTAAAAGTTTTTTTTGTAATACTTAATTACAATACCACTATACCTGAGTTTAAAATAAGCCACCATAGGGTTGATTGAGCAGTCTGTAATGATTTGGTAGCAGGAAAGATAGTTGCTAGCTAGCTAACAGCGGTGATCATCACTTTTGGTGAGGGCAAAGCAGATGTGAGCGATTTGAGACAACACTATGGGGTAAAAAAAAAGACCAGAAAAATGGCACTGTATTAAACAAATGTGTCCGAAATAAAACACTGATTTAGAGTCTATTGAGTTTTTCTAAATAAAACACAGGAACAATGGCACAACTAAAAACGATCTGCTGTTCTGCTGTGATCTCAGCATTGACAACACGCTAACCTCCGCTCCTGGGGCGAAGTAAATCGTGTACATGCAGATCAACTTTTATGAGCGTGCCGTTGACATCAAGTATTGGACGTGATGAATCCTGACAGTATGACTTGGCTTGTCCAAATCTGTTCATGTGAACTGTCTAAAATAATGCTCTGGTATCCCCATATTGAATCCCTCCTCTCTGTGACAGCCGGCTTGTCACTTCGCCTTCCAGAGTCGCCGTTCAGAGCTAAACACTTTTGATTTCTGACGTAGTCTGACAACACATCTTTTTCCAGAATAACCCAACCCTAAGTGTGGTTACCAGTTTACTGTGTGCAGAAGTGTGTGTCCTCTGTATGTGTGTGTCCGCCCCTCTGGCCTGTATCTGTAACTTTTGAGCAGTAAATCAGATCAGGTTTGACGCTGCTTCCCCCGTAGCAATCGCCCGTGTGTGTGTGTGCATACAATATTTTTTCTCGCACTCCTTTGTTTATTGTCTCCCGTTCGGTGCTGTTAAATCGTGTGTGTGATTCTGTGAAGTGTGTGTGTGTGTCTACAGCCTGCTCTGCTGCAGTGTGTTGGTCATGTGATCAGGATAGCTATCACCAGGCTCTAACGTCCCCTTGCCTCCCCCTTTTTCCCTCTCTCTTTTATCTCCTCTTTACCCTCTTTTTTTTCACACCATAATTTTTCTTCTCCCCGTTTCTCTTTCATCCCGTTTTTCTGCATTTTTTTTCTCCCCTCCAAATCCTTTCTCCCTGTCCTCCTCCGAGTTCCTCCTCACCCCCTCTGCTCTTATCTCCCTTTTCCATTTTATTGCTTCTATGCTCTCCACCTTACCTTCCCTTTTTCGCTCAATGACTCCACCCCCTACTTACTCTTCTCCTTTCTCCCTACAATAAATCTTCTCTCCTCTACCTTCCCCCTCCATTTACACATTCTGTCTTTTTTTACTTTGATGTTATCCGTTCTTCTTCCTCATTTTACATACATTCTGATTTTCTGTACCCTCTCCTCTCTATTTTTCCTCCCTCTTCTCCTCTCTCTTCTACCTCCCATGTCTCCTTTCTTCTTCTCCTGTTTTCCTATTCTTTCCTCTTGCCAATTCTCCGTTACCATTTCACCATGACTTTCCCGTTATCTGTCCCTTCACCATTTCCCTGCTTCTCTTCTGTCACCTCTCTTTCCTCCCTCTTTGTTTTCACCCCCTCTACCTTCTACCCCCCCCATGTCTCTATCCCCTTCTCCCAGATTCCAAGCAGAATGGCGAGGCGGCAGCTAACGCAGCGCTGGCCAACGAGGACTGCCCCACCATCGACCAGGTCCTCGGGGACGAGCGCAGCCCGGCCACGGGGGGGCTCGGCTCCACCACCAGCCGCGAGCGCTACCCCCACGACCGGGCCTGCTTCCTGCTGAGTGCCGGGGAGTTCCAGCGCACCACGGATGGGAACGTTCGGAAAGGTAGGAAGGTGGAGGGGGGGAGAAGGAGGCCTGAGGGAGGAGGAGAAGGAGGAGGAGCCGGGGGAGAGGGCGGGGGGGTGGGGTGGTACCTGAGTGACAGCAGTGGGCTGTCCCTCGATGCATGGTCCTGATCCACATGTGCTGCAAAAACACGTCCCATACAGACAGGTGGACAAAATAATAGGAACACCTAACAATATAAAGTTATTCATGGTGTGTGAATACCTTTATGTGTGAGTGTGTGCGTTTGTGTGTGTGAGAGTGTCTGTGCAATAGAATGTGTTTCATATAAGACACACAAAAAAGCACAAACATAACAGAAACAAATAAAAGTTGAAAAAATGAAAATAACTTAACATGGAGAGTTCTCTCCATTGGCACACAACATAATAATACACAATTATTGGCAATGGTATTTAATCCAAGTATTATTTTATTCACAACTTCTTACTACAGCTGTAGTGGAAGAAGCCCCCTTCATGCATTTATCCTGCGTGTGTACTGCGTGTGTACTGTGTGTGTACTGTGTGTGTACTGCGTGTGTACTGCGTCTGTACTGCAGAGGCTGCTGCAACACTGATGTTGAAGTGACTGGATGTACCATACTGTAACACAATAGTGTTTAGAACGTTTTTGGGTGGTCCAATAATGCAATATGCAGATGATTCCTTCCTGAGGTGGGTCCACAGTCACTCAGCAGCACTAACTGAAGGGTTTCATTGGTCTTCTGTGGATGCTGTGTTCTATGTTCATCATAGCCGATACATACTTACATGGAGCTAAACAGTTTCATTTTGAAAACACTGTCCATTAAAATGAATATAGTGTTACCTGTACAATTTACTATCAACAAATCCCATGAAAAGACCGAAGAAGACTAGCATTGGTTATTTTTTCTAATTCATGAAATGACATGTAAACCTGACATCAGCTGGCCTCATGAACTGTGGCTTCTGCCCGTCAGAAACATGTGATGATGTTATTAGCACAGGCGAGGGGAATGTATGGGTAACAATCTGCAAAGAGGATGAAATATACTGCCACATTGATTCAAAGACTTTTCTTGTGTTGCTATAAGTGCAATAAATGTATTTAATTGTAATGCCCTAACACACACTACATGAAAACAGCAGCATTAGATTGCAAACTGTCATCTAGAGGTCAAAAGATGTAGAATAAAAGAACACTGAATGAGTGTGCAGGTTTATTATTGTTTTTGAGATAATTATTCCTCAGCACAGGCAACAATGTATGGATTGCTCTCTGGCATATTGGAAATCCATGACCTGCTAAACGAATTCATTACATTAGCCTCAACCTGATCATTTGTATGTTAGCATGCTTATATAAGCATTTAGCTCAAAGCCTCAGGAAAATAGGGACTTGATGTACTTTTAAGAATACTTTAAAATCAAATCCACTAATTTCTTCTTCTGGTATTTTCATGGGATTTTGATGAATGATAAGAAAAAAACGCCAGTCATGCACTTTCTTGAACTTTCCTGCCACGTTGGATTTCTGTTCCGGATGTTTTGAAATGAAACTCTTCATGTGAACTGTTCAGTATTTTTGAATCTGATGTGGCAGAACAGCCAGATCAGATGAGTGTCATTCTGTTCTCGTCACATCGGCTTCTCCACTGTTCTGCTCTGTCTGTCATCCATCCACACTCACTGCATGCTTTATTTTTCTCACTTTTCCATGCTGTATTCATTAACTCTCCTTCTTTATCTCTCCATCCCATATTCTATTCTTTCCCCCCACCTTCTCCATTGATTATAATGTTTTTCCCTCATCTTCCATTCATTTGTCCTCTCTATGTTCCTGCATTATCTTGCCTATTGCCTCCTTGACCTGATAACACTACAATAATTAATTTGGCTTTCAAACATAACCTGGCCCTTCCCCCTTTAATACCCTATACACTCCCCAAATGCTACTTCCCCTGATTCACACACACAAACGCACTGCAAAATGTGCACACTCACACACACCAACACACACACAGATGGCTCAGGGTCCAGCAGTGTGACCTCCTCCCAGGAAGAGGGGTGGTTCAAGCCGGAGGGGCCCCTGCTGCAGCCGGAGCTCAGCGTACACTCCGGCTCCTGGATCACAGCGTAGAAACACACAGGTAACACGAGCATTCAGTTATATACAATATATTAAACAATCAGCTAAACGGACAACGTTTCTGTGCTAACGAAATATTAGATGCACCGAACAAACTGAAACGTTGACTTTAATTAAATGTATTATGTCAACAAATGTCACATAACTGTATTAGGTTAGTTGAAAGCAATAATATTAAGTTGAACCTAATATTTTCAACTAACCTAATACAGTTATGTGAAATCTATTGAGTGAATTGATTTAATTGTAGTCAACGTTTCAGTTTTTGCAGTAGAATAATTCAGACATTTATTGTGTCTTTAAACAAGGACCATGCATAAACATACATTAATCTCAAAAACAGAACAGATGATTTCTGACAGATTTATCTTTTAAGCTCATATATATCTGCAGTCCTTGGACACAACAGACTCTCTGTCACTATAACAATTACAAAGATCGAATCAACAGATCAACATATAAACACCAGCACATTGATCAGTGGATTTATAATAATACAATACTTGAATATAATCTTGAACTTGAATTATTGGATTATAATAGATTAGAATACATTACATAGAATTGAAGTAGATTACACTATAACGGGTTAAACACAACTATATAAGGAGCAACCAATAGCAGGGTGGGCCGGTTTGATTCCCTGCTGGCCATACTCCGTGTCATTACCCTTCTCTCTTTCACTACTACTAGCACATTCCAATAAAGGCTAACAGTACAATGCCAAGAAATAATCTATAAAAAAAACAAGACTAGAAAAGATGACATTAGAATAGCAGATACAAATGCATTAGACTTCATAAAAAAAGATTAGATTAGATATGATCAATTTAGACTACACATATGTTTAACTCAACTAAACTAGACTAGATTTAGTTAGACCAAACTACATTTGATTATATTAGATCAATTTAGATTGGATTTAACCAGATTAAATTAGATTAAACAAAACAGATTACATTCTGTTAGATTAGACTAGATCTAACTCTTTAACATTACAATGAATTGCAAGATGATTACATTAACCCCTAGACTGCACAAAGGTATAATCTGAAATGGTCATGGGCCATTTTGCATGCGGGTTGCAAGTTGAGAATCACAGCACACACACAAGATAAAACATGACGGTAAAGTGGAGGAGATTACAGTAGAAAATATTTAAAAATAAATAAATATATATATCAGTTGTTGTTGAAAAAAGTTCAGACCCCAGACACACAATAGGACACACAACCTTTTGTACTGTATATATTTCATATATATTTCAATCAACAGTTTACTTTGTTCACACTAACACTGCAAATATTTCATTAATGCAAGTCTTGTCAATTGAATGTAACATAAAGCTAGTTATTGTTGTTATAAGAACAAATCACACTCCAATACATGTACATGCGTTGGCACAAATAAAACAAGTTACACATATCCATAGAGTGTTTGCGTTATGAGATATAATCACTTTTTTAACCAATATTATCAACTTTGATGATTCTCTATAATGTGCTTGCAAACAATCTATTTCTATGCTTAGTCCCAGAAATGTGACACAAATATAATGTAATAGTAACACGTCAAAAACAGTGTCAGATTATATAATAGCCAAATAATTGTAGGGGGAATCAGCATACACACACACACACACACACACACACACACACACACACACACACACACACACACACACACACACACACACACACACACACACACACACACACACACACACACACACACACACACACACACACACCCACACACACACACACACACACACACACACACACACACACGTAGAACCATGTAAACACACCGTGTGATTCTGCGAGCATGACTGTGTATTAGCCGTGTGTGTGAGAGAGATAAGCCTTCCTCTTTACACCCACACTATGGTTTAACCACCAGAGACATGGGGTTCGGGGGGGGGGGGTTAAGTTCACAGTGCTGGTCCATGTGTGATGCGTGCTGATGCTGTTGTTGTTATTTTGTTGTTGTTGTTGTGTTACTGTCTCCTTCCCAAGGTTGTGTCATGCGTTTGTACGTTGGCTCTTGTTGGTCTGTGTTACACTATCCATCTGTCTGTCTGTCTGTCTGTCTGTCTGTCTGTCTGTCTGTCTGTCTGTCTGTCTGTCTGTCTGTCTGTCTGTCTGTCTGTCTGTTTCTCTATTTTTTCCTCTTTCTGTCCGTTTGTCTGTCCTTTTCTGTGTGTGTCTGTATTTCGTGTGTAGCTGTCTTCCCCTCCTCCTGCTCCTCCTGCTCCTCCTCTTTCTCCTCCTCTAACCCGGTCTCTTCTCACTCTGGTACTTACAGATAGGGGGCGTCACGTAACCCCCCCCCCTGAAAGCACTTTGGCTCCCAATTCCGCGTGGTTCCAAACGGGCAAGGGGGGTCTTATTCCCAGAATGCTTTTGGGTAGAGGGGGCCTGGTCTGGACTTTTTGATACTTTGGTTGCAGACTTTAGTGTGTAGTTTGGACTTATTGTCCTATTAAGATTGATATTAGATTGGTAAATAAAGAAACGTAGTATTTTGCGCCAAAATACTTAGTGAGTTTTTCCAAAAAATACAAAAAACTAAATTTAAATGGGAATTCAATTTAACGTGTTTTGGGATGGGTGCCAGAGTGAAAGCAGCCGCTGCGCACCGATTAGTCATTTTCTCGGCCAGGCCAGTGAGAGCTGGTTGCTAATTGCTTGGTTGGTCGGTTTGTTCTCTCCTCTTCTCTGGAACTGAGCTCAGGTCAGTTCTTACAGCACAGCCGGCAGAGAGCACTGTCTGGTTTCACGGCAGATTTGGCTCCAATCGTTGCATTGGGCTAATTGGCGTAGCATTCTAGCTAATTGGATATTTTTTGAAACACTTTGGTGCAA